TTAAATTTTTTTCAAACCCCTTAAATTTCATATTTTCTCACGGCGGTTTTTTTATTACACACTTGAACACTTCAGTGCTTTTTTATACCTGTCAGTAAGATGTACGCATTTGCACATATATTTCGAGACCTTACTAATATTATATATATACATATAGATAAATATATTCCCTAAATGTCCATAAATATCTTCATTGTATATTTATGACAGACGTGCAATAAATCAAGTTTAAATACAACTCCCAAAACAATATTAACATACTAAACAATCACCACCAGTTAGGCATTAGAGATTCATAATAATATCATTTCTATTGAAATTTATAGACCAACGCCACCGTTACACAGACAAACATATGTCACTCACTTCATAAACAAATGCATAAATAAATAAAAATTATTTGAATTGCCATATTTTTGCATGCTTTAAAGACGCTTGCATGTAAACGAGCAAGCCTTGGCCTTGATGCAAACATTTTTACGACTTAAACCTTTCGGCGACCTCTGGCAACCTTCATGAGACTAGATAAATTCCAGCAGACGAGTAAAAGAAATATTTAAAGCTATAAAAATGCCTGTCTGCATGCGATGGTTTAAGAAATATCCGACTGAGTTTGAAATGGCGCATAAAACGACTGGCCTCTGGGGATTCAGGCGTGTTGCAAAACTTTTGCCGAGACCGGCGTGTGAAAGAGTGAGTGAGTGTTTGAGCAGTAGCTGACCTTTGTATTGATTTGTCTGGGTTTGAGGTGGTTTTCCTTTTTATTTATAGCTCACACCCACTCTCACTTTACCTCTCTGCCTGTCAGTCTACTTGGTTAACGGGCTTTAAATGTAATATATTTTTATTTATATACGCAACCACAACTTAAATAATGTTTAATATACCATATTATGTGCACTTTCTTATGAAATATCATAAAAATTGTGTCTGTGTCGCTTGAAGTTAGTTAATGAATTTGATACCGTTTTTGATAGCCCGTGAAATTTCTCGCCACAAAAAAGTTTCGCTATAAATATAGAAGCGTGTAAAAAAAATTCGTTATCTAAATATAATTATTTTATGTTTGGTATATAGATATTTACATTAGTATCTGGATATACTAAGGGGCTATACTAGGGAATTAAAAAAAAAGCTACTGCATCAAAAATTAAATTAAACCTAACCAAAATATCTCTATTTGAAGATATTGTCCGCACTATGACCTGCGCTCAAAAAACAAAAGCAAAAATTTACAAAATGGTGGTGTTTTTTTACCAAAGTTGAATTTACCTAAAATTATGGTCGTTCGCGGAAATTCGGTTTTTGATAGGCATCGGACAATTTGTCTCTGAGTTATCAATCAAGCAAGTTCGAAAAATAAGTTTTGAGTGACTGCACTTTAGAAGCCTGTAACTCCAAAACTATTTGAGATATCGATTTAAAATTTTGGTATGTTATTTCCAAAGAATAAATATATCGAAATATGAAAAAAAGGTTTTCTTTTCAATTTCAAATTAGGTGTGTAAATATATTTTATTTAAATCTCAGATAAGATAAAATATTAATATTGAAGTTTAAAATACAGAAATGCGTAACCAAATTCAATTATACTATGCATTTTATATCTACCACAATAAATTTTTTGGTATGTGTCTTCGCTAAGAATAATGCGCCTATTTGTAGGCAGTGTTTTTGCGTGAGTTTGAAATCTGTTTATTATATTTTCGAGAGAGTATTATGCTTACAATTTTTTTTATAATTGTATATCCCATTTATATAAAAAACTTAATTAATACTCACAAAAAAAAAAATTACATTGACTAGAGTAATAACTGTAGAAAACAACAAGAAATATTTACAAAAAAATCACCTAGACAAGTGTAAAACTTGTTTTCTTTATATATACTTAGTAAGCTAACCTTTACGTCCAGACTGAACGCTTTAACAATCTGCTAAATTTAATCCTCAGCAGATTAATGGCCTTTGCTGACAGCATTCCTACCTCCATTTTGTCTATGTGTCAACTAAAATTAATGGCGGCGCTAAAGCAATGTCATGCAAAGTTGACAAGACCACACAAACGCTATAGAAATGGTAGACACTAAATTCCAAAAATAAAACCAAAAAACATCTATCAGCATTTACCTAATCTCTTATGTACCCTTAATGTATGGTGCACCGGTGCGTATAAGTGACATTAATTTGAGTGTTGAAAGTAAAATTTAAACATAAACACCTACAAATTCCAGACATGTGGCAATTATTCAACGGTTAATGACTTGTCATTTGCTTAAATATAAATGAGGCACATACATACACGCACACATAATCAGTACACACACATATAATCAGCACGTGTGTGTACACTAACCAGTAAGCGCTCATAAATACGCGCACAAAGTAAGTGCAAAAGCATAAATGCTGTCGCTTAGCGATAAATTCCTCAGCCCCATACCCCCACACGTGTACCTGTGTGCGCATAAGAGGCAACTTGATGAGTAACTTGTCTCACAACAGCCTTTAAGCAGTCGTGAAAACACTTGAGCAGGTGGCTGATTAACTACTAGAACTACACTGCTAACAACAGCAGCAACAACAGCAGCAGCACACAATGTTGCAAAAAAACAATTTCTAAAGAATACAAGCATCTTACTAACCGACTTTTGAAGCATTTTTTGCGCCACCCTCCCTTCGAGCAAGCACGTGGTATACAATAACAATTTACCTTCACTCGTTTCTACCTTCCACTTGTAATACAAGCATACGTTCTGGCTAATGCCTACTTAACTTACCTGAAGCGAGCGTTGCTCCACTTGTTAACATACCCTAATCCACACACATGTAAGTAGTTATTAACCGCCCTCTCTTTCCTGCATATGTTGTTTATTGTGTCAGCACTAACGGTATATTTACGCTTATGCATCGTAGTTGTTATTTTAGCATTCGCTTCCTCTTTCATTGTTATTATTATTGTTATATTTGCTTAGTGTGCGTGCGTGGTGCACATTTTCCTTTGTCACTTTTTATGCGCCTTGCATGACACTCTGTTAGCAGGATGCGTGCAACATTTTATCGTATTGTGTAATAGGAAACCATACTCGGAAAATTGTTATTACGCACAATACTCATTTAGCGTCGCCATCAAAAGACTGGGTTTGTGTTTTCCCCTTACCATCCCGGATTTCTTTTATTGGAGTGCTGTAAGGTGTAGTTGCTGCCAAAGGAAGCATCTACAGTGATTGCCTTATTTCCTGAGGATCTGTCTGCACTTAGAACTCCAATTTCTAACACAAACTATGAGGCATATACAACGTTAGAGGTTTATGGAATATATTTGTAACAGATAATGCGCTTCTAAGCCAGCAAAAATTTAGAGGGTGAAATATATTAAAAATTTATTGATAATTATGAAGCCTTATAACGCGGCACATCTGGTGTGGAATTCTTAAAAATCGTTTTTTCATAATTCGATAGGCTATACCTGTAAAAATAACATACTGAAACCTTAAATCGATAACCCAAAGGTGTTTTGAGCCACATCCTTATCAAGTGTCAACGCTCAGTTCAATCGCTCTATCGGTTTACGGTTTAAGCATGTTTTTCGCACAACTATATTTTTCAAATTTGCTTGAGTGATTAGTTGGAAGCATATAATCAGATCAACATCAAAAGTTCTTTCTGCATATTCTGTATGTATTCTCCATACTATGACCTACCAGTTTTTTGGACCACACAAAATTCTTTAATAAAATTAAACTTTTTTTTAATAAACGACCCCTTTTTATGATTCATCGACGGAGAATGCCGCAGTTGAAGAACCTCTTTCCAAAAATCGCCTTTTTTTATGCAGTCTCCTAAAAACTTCATCTCAAAAGATCTGAAGAACTCACACTAAAAATTATTCTAAAAATTGGTAGAACAACAATCTGGTTAAATTTGAAAAACCGATCTTAACTCAGAAAGTAGTTCATTTTCTCCCCGGGTATCATAATTTACCATTTTGTTATTTGACCGTAGCCGTATCACATTTCTTGCCTTCTCAGTCTTTCACATGCTTGTGGTCGATGAGCTGTCTGGCAATAAAGATGAAATCATCCACAAAATTTTAAGCATTCTCGGGACATACCTTTAAAAGAGTGGAGAAAATGATGTCATGTCATGCATCAAGTTTCTTCGGTATCACAAAGATTTCAAGCTTGATGGTTATTCGATAGATTTTGAGAATCGCCTTAAGGCTCTAAACTGAACTAATATAGGCTGTGTCCAGTAAATAAATATTGCAAATGCTTTCTTAAGAGCTTGCCTGTCATCCTAATCTTAGATAGGTAAACATTAGGGTGGAGCAAAAAAGATTTTCTTTGCTTAACCTGAGTCTCAAATTTTTAGAATATAAAAAGAAAATTTTTGGAAAAAAAATATTCGTCACAATTTTACCCTCTGGCTAAGCAAAAAAAAAAATTTTTTTCGCTCCACCCTAGTAAACATGTTGTTATGTCAAAAGGCAAAATCAGAAATCCAATAAAGTATATATAAAAATTCCCAATGTGACAAACTGAGTCGATTTCACTATGTATATATATACGCGAACTATATATACGCGAACCAGTCTTTAATTTTTTGAGATATAATCTTTTCTCACCAAGAAAGTATTTATTATTATCCAAAGCATCGCTACACCTCCGAGCAAATCGGAATGGAAACCTATAGCATTTCATAGCTGCCATACAAACTTTTTCCGTTTTGAGCGGAAAGAAGAAAGGTTTTTGTATACTCTTTCATGCCAAAAGCACTTACTTGTATAAAAAGTTTTATAGCTCCTGCGCAGCCAATTAAAATGTCTCTGCTCATTTGTCCTATTTTCTGTAAATTTAAGTTTATATCTTTGTTCTCAGAATTCTATCTTCTTATCTGTAGTACCAATATTCGAAAGAAAATTCGAAATTAGAGCTCTAAATTATATTTTCATCTGAACCTTAACGAGAATGCTTAATTAAAATTTCGCTCTTTTCCTTTTTCAGTCGCACGCATTCCAATTTATGCTGAAAATGTATTCGAATGCAGGATAGCAGCGCTCGCCTAACAACCAACAACTACAGCAACAACTTAAATTTCGCATAATAACTTTTTATTTCGACTACGCTAGAAATACCGCACGCATGTGGCAACAAAATTCGACGCAACATCCGCAACAACGCCACACAATTTGCGTTTTAGACACAATAATATTGACGACAACAACAATACCAAAGGCAACAAATTGCAACAAGCGGAATTGATAAGTGCACGTACACGTACACAACAACTCACCACCACTCCCCCAAAACCCCCCAACAACAACGTGCGTGTCAAAGGCAACTATGCATTTGACACACCACAAAAATAACGATGATGAATGTGACAATTCAATATCATCAATAAAGGCGACAACTGCAGCAGCAAACACTTGCCACACACGTTGCAACACACGAAAACAGCAGCAGCAACAACAACGACAACAACTAAATCAGCAACGACAACAAAGCGTCAGTGGCAGCAGGCATAATAAGCTTAGCGGCCGTTGTTGCTACACTGCAACAGCACAGCAACGAGAAAATGTTGCACAAATACGAAAATGGTGCGACCGACCACGAGTGTCAGCAGCACAATGCCAGCAGCCAGCAAGTACGCCTGCAACAACAAGAAACACACGCGTAGCCGCCAGCCAACGCAACGTGTGGGCCAATAATGGCTGCAACACATTGGCCACACTTCTACGAAGGAACAACTTTTTTACTTATGCTTTTGTTGTTGTAATATTTTTAAGCAGCTACAATGCGGCAACTGTGCTCGCAGACAGCGTTAGCGCCACTGGCTCGCCCAGCAACAACCCAGCGCCAATTAGTCAAATTGTAAATACAAATAGCAGCAACAACAACAACAGCAGCAGCAGCAGCAGGAGTAGTAACGACGAGACTAGCAGTAATTATCGCGATATGCCGAAGCACCGCACAGCGGACGCCTATCAATATGATGTTATTAACAATAGCAACAACAACAATAATGAGAATAATAATAAAAATTACAACCACAACAACACGGCTGTCAACATCATACTAAGTGATTATAGTGAAGCTTTCGCCAGCCTGGTGGCCGCGGGGCCACTAATTGACACCAACAATAACAACAACAGCAACAGCGCCGTGAGTGGCACACTCATCGAAGGCAGCAGCAGTGACGGTGGCGTTGCTGGTGATAATAATAATATTACTAAAGCATTGCAGTCCGGCGCAGTGTCTAATGATGATGATGCGCCGTTCGAGCTGTCCGATGAGCTGTTGGATAGCCTGCGTGGCACGCACAGCTTGCCGCAGCAACCGATGTATACGAATGACTTTGCGGTGCACATACCAGCTGGCTGGCAAATGGCCGACTTAATTGCCAATAAATACGGATTTATCAACGAAGGCCAGGTGAGTAATATGAGTGCATTGCGGTGATATGGAAATATGTGTAGCGATGTGCCGATATGTTGGTGTGCGCAATATGAAATGCGACATGTGATATTCATAAAATTTTTGAGCCTCTCTTTAGAAAATAATGATTTTTTGAGGTTGTCTGTCTAACCTGAGTAAATTTTTAATACAATTTTGCATACAAATTGCACTGGCGATATATGAGAGCAAATTTGAAACCACAAAAAGTTGTGGTATTATATTAGCACAGCATATATTTAATGAATGTGTTATATACCAAATTTTTATATAGTTATAACGGTTTAGAAATGCTATAACTAGGAGGTAACAGGGAAGAGTCAAATTTTTCCCAAGAAGTCGGCAGAAAAATTTCATACACTTGGGAGCGGAAAATTTTTTTTCTGAACTCATAAAAATTTGTCTGCACTTGAGAGTGAAAAATGTTTTACTAAATATAGAAACTCTAAGCTAATCCAATAAAGTCAAAGAAAAATTCATATTACTGTTAGGGACCCCGTTATAGGTGTATAATACTTGGATAGGTTGTATATGCCAAGCTCTGATTCTAATATTTTTTGTAAGAGAACAGAGAAGCTATGTGTTGTTTTTAGTAAAAATTAGGTCAATATAATTATTCATAGGGTCACTAAAGTCTTTTACATAATACAGACTGAAAATAAGTTATCCGAATCGTTCAGATTAACCAAGCCAAAACTCCTTTTTCTGAAAAAATATCGCATTCTTTCTTTGAACAGTTATTTATATTTACTTCCTCATTGCATAAAACATTAACTCGACCTTATTTAGCTCTTTTGAAATGCCTGATGTATTATAAAATATTGTCACAACTGCATTGAGAATGAAGAGATGAAATTATTTCATGATTTTCAATCTTTTTGTCGGTCCTCAGCAAACAATTTTCGTCACTGACACTCGCTCTGCATTCTGTCAAATTTTATATAGAGTTAGTCAATGAAGAATTTCAGAACTTATTTTATATATTTTTTGTCTCTTTAGCCAATATAAAATCGAGTTTCGTCAAGATTGTTTTCTTTATGTTCTTCATGCTTTTTTTCACTACTCTCAGATCTAATATCTCACTAACACTAGGTGCTTGACAGCAGCATGTGAAGGTTTTGTAATTATATTCTTTTTCTTGCATGTAGAGAATATTCAATATAAAATCGGCGTCACAATTTCTCAAATATCTATGACATTTCCACTTTATGACGCCAACAAAATCTGCGTGCTTTTACCAACTAACTTAGTCACTGAAAATCTATCATTGTCTCTTTTCAAAATCGAGAAATAATGCCAAAAAAATTATTAACTTTAAATAAAAAATAAACAGTGTTAGCCAATATAAAGACAGTGCTGTTAAACCTTTAAAAAAAGGAGTAAGTTTTCTATTTTGAAAAATGTCCAAAATAAATAATTCACTAAACTTCTTGCAAATTGCATAAAATGTCATACGTTTGGTACCTAAGTTTTAATATTTCCGCAGTAATGAATTGTCGATAAGTGGCAACTCTATCCAAAAAGGTGTCTAATATAAATCATTCTTTAATATTTTTATGAATATTTTATTCCACGAGGTCAGCATTTCAAAACTGATATTTTTATTTTTTGCATAGGTGGCAACTCTATTTCATAAAATTTCTTATAAACAGACTTCTCAAATACTTTTTAAGCATGTTTGTTATATTTTTATGCGTTTTTTCAACGATTTGAGCATTTTGTGTGTGATATTTAAAAATGTCCTCTAGGTGGCAACTCTATTCAAAAATATATCTTATATTAATCGTTCTAAAATATTTTTTTATGGTTTTTCCATTTTATTTAAACATTTCGTGAGTGATCTTTTTACTTTTTTTTATATGTGGCAACTCTATTTTATAGTATTTCCTATAAACAGGTTACTAAACTACTTTTTGAGCATTTTTCGTAATCTTTTTAAAAGTGATATTTTAATCTTTGAATAAGTGACAACTCTTTCTTCTAATATTAGAACTACTAAATTATTTCAGAGCTTACTTTTTTACGACCATTTTAGTGGTTTAGTATTTAATATAGTAAAGTAAAGCTAAACACACTCCTCTATACAAGTTCATTAAACTGAGTAGTTACAAAGTCAGGCCTACTAATTGGTTCTGGAGTCCATTAGTAACATATTAGTAAAATCAATAAAATATTTATATTTCTATATTTTAATAGTAAGAACTTTTATCCGCTCACTAAGCAGCCTGAAAGCTGCCTCGAAACATCCAAAATGTTATTTTCTAATATTCTCTATTTTGGTCATTTCCGTTATTTATGACTTGATTTACTCGATACAGTATAAACCCAAATATTTGCCACAATCTATGATTAACGGTTATATGAGGCGTTATTGCTCACACACAAAGACTCCAAATGAGCATACATTACACACATGCACATACACAGGTTCACTGCATTCACCTCCCCTTTGTTGAGTACCCTGCAGAGCGCAAATTAGATATTATTTATTGCTACAATGTCAATAATAATTTTATTGCAAACTCACGCAAGCGGAAACCTACAAAAATGGTCTACAATGACCAACCAAAATTGGGAAGAGAAAAAAATTGTATTTAACAACTAATTTGGTGGCATTATATTGGTGAGCGTGTTGGTCGAAATTACACCATACATATGAGCTAAGAAATACAAACACACACGTACACATATACCGAATATTATTTATGCACTTCGTTTTTGTTGCGGAGCGTAAGTGTGTGGGTACGTGCTTAAATAAACTGTTAAATTGGTTGCTGCACACACACATGCACACAAAGCACTGTAACAATTATTTGGTGTATGAAGTAAATAATATTTAATAAAACGCACAAAGGCAGCTGCTGTTGGCTTACTTTGTATAGGCGAGCAGAATTATATTCCAAATTTACAAGCTTTAATTATCGACGCTTTTGTTTTGGCACAAATTTCAGCTTATTTTCCCTACGCTCCATTTTGCCGGCTATTTCACCGAATGCGTAAACAAGGCAATTTAATTATCAATAAAATAAACACATGCGAAGCGAGTGTAACAAAAGGAATAAGAGCTTCAATAAAAGTTGGAAATATCGGTGCTAAAAATAAATTTCTGAAATCGTTTGTACTAAAATATATTTTAATATTTTTTCGTAGCTAAATTTCAGCTTTAATTAATTTCAAGAAAATTCAAAAAAAGAAATTGCATAAGGCTGCTGTATGCTATTGAGGTCCGATTTCAGCAATTCGTTCGGAGCTTGTACCGTTGCCCTGGACAATAATTCAAGCCAGATTTCGTGAAGATATCTAGTCAAATGAAAAATTTTTCCCTACAAGGACTTGATTTTGACCGATCAGTTCTAGAACAGCTATATCTTATAGTTATCCAGTATCGGCGGTTCTGACAAATGAGCAGCTGCTTGGAGAGAGAAGCAGTTATGCGAAATTTCAGATTATTGTATCATAAGCTGTAACAGAAATTTGGAATTTGTATCGAAATGCGTAAATTTTTTTTATCAGTCTTTTTTGTCAATGAAATTTGACGTTACGTTCTGTTCAGGGTATAAATATACAAATATATATGCCGAAATTAAATTGCTCCAAATAGTAGCACGGTTCTCGTAGTATGGCAATAGCGTTTTCATTGACCCTATTTCTTAAAATAAAGATTATATACCTTTATTTATGCGCCGATATTTATTTTTCGTATTTTCTGCAATTTTCGTTTACATGTACGTGCTGCTTTTAATACATACTTAGATACAATATATAAACAGGTACTGAAAGATATATTAGCAATTGTATTTATATATACGCATAACCATTCCGAAGTATATATTACGCATACATTTATTTTTTTTTTGTTTTTTTTGAGTTGAAACGCACACATGCATAAGTTTTACTCACACTTGCCCGCCTGTCATAAATTTGATATTAAATAAGTAATGACTCTCCAGTGAGCTATGTGTTTTGCAATAACAGCAACGAATAAATCAATTTTGGATTCATGTTTCCGGAACTGAAATTTTAAAAATAGAAAAAGGAATCATACCAACCAACAAAATACAAATACAAATATATTCATTTATACATATAAATGCATAATACCTAATAGCCGTACATACATAAGAGGTGTTTAAAAAAATAACGGAAAAACTTTTAATATCAACTATGCTTGTAAACCGACGGCCGTTTAAGGTTCCCTTCATCTCTGAAAATATGAAAAAGTCACACGGAGCTATGTCTAGCGAATATGGGAATTTTGAGCTGGCGCATCATAGCGGTACTATTTTTTACGAGAAATTCACATTTCACACATTCAAAGTGGTAGCTTTTAACAAGCGAAAATCGCCAAGCTCATAAAAACACGCTTAACCTTAGCAGCTGCTACAACGTAAGCAATGAATACAGCTGAACATTTTATGATACTTCAGGGGCATTTATATCAATATAATAAAAATAAAATTGACAATTGGATTATCTAAACCTGCGAATTTTTAACTTTCAAATTCCAGTTATTTTTTGAACACACCTCATAAACACATGTATGTATGTTGCATGTACTATATATAAAATTGCATATATTTTTTGGCTGAACTTTTAAACTTATATAAGCGCTTTAAGAAGCTATTATAATTTATTTTGTGTTTTTTTTTTATTAGTTACGGTAATTATGTTTGAAGAAAAAAGCCTAAAATTATCAATATTTTGTCTTTCTTCTTGATGCCATATGCAGATAGTTTTATTGGCTTCATTAACTCAATTTTTTTCAGCGTGCTCACTATTTTTTTCCAAATACAAGTATTGTTTCGAATTTTTATTTGTAACTGTTTAGTGATTATCATAGCTAATTGACGCACCGCATATAAAAGTAGTCTAATGGAGCCAAATCACATTACCTAGGTTGCTAAATAAGCTATACGCCTTGTTGCCGCATTCAGTATTTCGTCGATTGAAAATTGGCACGGTATACTTATTATAAACGT